GTGGGACGCGGCCTCAGCATGGCCGGAGAAGCAGTGCGCCGGTGGGAGCCTGGGATCCGAACTCGGGTCGCCAGCAGTGGAGCGCACTCACTTAACCACCAAGCCACGGGGCCGGCCCTGGGTGTGCATTCTTTAACTCTACCCTCTTTTTTTTTTTTTTTAATTTTATTTATTTATTTTGTTCCCCCCAAAGCCCCAGTAGATAGCTGTATGTCATAGCTGCACATCCTTCCAGTTGCTTTATGTGGGACGCCGCCTCAGCATGGCCAGAGAAGCGGTGCATCGGTGCGCGCCCGGGATCCGAACCCGGGCCGCCAGCAGCGGAGCGTGTGCACTCAACTGCTAAGCCACGGGGCCGGCCTGTAACTCTACCCTCTTACTACCAGTATCATCCTATTTCTGTCCCAAGTAGAAAGGGAAATAAAAGAGGTGACAAAAAGGGTACGATTCTGATGTTCTGGTTGTCAAGGAACTAATTGTCCCCCTAAAAATGGCTGCCTTTTTGCAATGCACCAGATGAACTGAATAAAATTCCTTCAGATGTTCAAAGGGAGGAAAAAATAGAAGATTCCTTTAAATAAGAAAAAAAGTCAAAACTCTAAATTTAAGCAATTGCTTACTTGGGGCCCCAGCCAACTTTCAGTGGCTGATGGAGAGAAAGAGAAAGATGGGTCAATCAAGATGAACTGCTTCACCTTGAAAATATAATTGCATTAGGCAGGACTATGGAGGAACACAAGGAATGTTTCCTCGTGGTGCTGGGTTCTCATTTGTCTGAGTATGTGGATTTGAAATTGTCTGTCATTTAATGTCAAGTCTGATAGGTCCTAGAAAAATATCTTGGACATATAGTATTGCAGCAAGAGATAAGGATAGATCCTGAAGAAAGCTCTTTCTTTCCTGTCTGACCTTGTCCATCGACTTTGAAGATATCTGGGAATTCAAAGCTATTAAGCAAGGCTTGACTAAGATTTCTCCAGGCTTACCCAGTGCTTCAGTGAATTGGTCCAGTGCTATCAGGCCTTACTCAAGAGCATTTTAGGAAACAAAATTGGCTTTAATTTCATGTCCTTTTGAGCTCTTTGGAATTTGTTGGGGGAGGGGGGTAGTATGGACAGGCTGATTGGACTTTAGTAATCATTTTGTTTAAAGCTCCTTTTTCTCAGAATTTGCTATTTTAGGCATTAAGCTATTTATCTCATACACTGATGCCAATTTTAAGAGTCTTAGTATCATTCTAGACGAGGAACAGTTCCATGCCAAGAGAAAGAAGCCTGTTGCATTAGCCAGTCAGAATTCAACCAGAGTATAGTCTTAACACCCTATTCATAAATACATCTTTCAGGAGCTAATGTAAGCCAATAGGTTTGAGTTCAGGGCATTTTCAGGGCATGGGGCGTTTTTCTAAATTAAAGCTGACAATTGTCTTAGGCAGGGCGACAAACCATCCCAGGATTCAGTTTGCCCAGAACTGAGGGGGTTCCCTGGACATGAGATTTTAGTGCTAAACCAGGAAAATCTCAAGCAAACCACAATGAGCTTATCACCCTAGTCTTAGATCAGGTTTCCTAGAAGCAGACCTGAGAAGGAACTCAGGTGCATGTGTATTATTGAGGGAGTGCCCTTCAGTAAAAATGTCTAAGAGAGTGAGAGAAGCAGAATAGGGCAGGGACTGAGCAAAGATGCTATCTCAGGTAAAGTCTACCTTTGGCCTTAGACAAAGTTCTGGAGTATATATCTCACTCTAGAGTTGTCCCACCTGGAGGCAAAGGAGTCAGGTTATTTGTCCCTGTATTAGGCGCCACCATCCCAAGAGGCAGGCATAACCAGCTGAAGTGACTCCCACCAACTAAGGGCAATTCACTGGAGAAGGTCGCAGGTGTATGCCACTAGCCACAGCACTTGCAGGAGCTGAGAGACGGGTGTTTGGTCAGAGTTCCAAGAGTGTCTTCTACAGTAACTCATTGACATATACGCTTAATGCCGCTGGGCAAAAGTGATGGGTTATGCTAACAGGTGATAATCTCAGCATTTACTACCACTTCAGTGTCAATAACGAGGATGCTGATATTCTCTCCACAGCCCAACCTGAAGTCTGTTAACATGAACCACCATGACAGGAAAGGACAATGTGGGCTTCATAGCTTCTTCAGTGGGTGGCATGGCTGAAAGCTCAACCCGTGGCCCTTGTGTTCTGTGTCTATGTGGCTGGCAGAGGGGCAGTGTTGTCTGCGTGTCCATATTTTACTGACCCATTTGGTGTCCTTCCACTTCCACTTCTGTGCCAATTACTCTTTTGCTAATATTGGCCAAGCAGCATCTTCTCTCCCTTCCACCTCTCATGACCCAGGCTTGGCAGATGAAGGCATGAATGAGATATGATATTGAAGGGGAGCAGAATGTGTCACCCCAAAATATGCCTCTTCAGCATAAGGATTATTTCAGGCTGGTTATTTTTAAGAAACTGCAGACATAGGAGAAGCTCTGAAAACTGAGTAAAAGTTACTCTTCTGTAAGAGACATTTACATTTATAAGGGAAATATCTATTTGTAAGTGTGTCCTCTTCTCTGTACCAGGAAGAGAAGGATGACTCAAAGTCTCCAGAAACTCGTCGTCAATGGAGAGGGCAGTAACTTAAAACTGCATAACAATCTTACCCTTGTTTACTGTTCCTTTGCTGGTAACCTCCCGTGACTGGCCTTCTGCTTCCCCCCAACATCTTTTATCTCTAGCTGAAGATGGTATTTAAAGTGAGGACTTGGACCATTTCAGGGAGTTACTCAGTTTTCCTATCTCCCATGTATACAGGAGGTATGCATGTTATTAAACTCCTGTTTGTTTTTCTTCTGCTAATCTGTCTTTTATTGCGGGGGGTGGGGGGGGTCTCAGTCAAAACCTAGAAGGGTAGAGGAAAAATTATTTTTCCTCCCTCACAATATCAAGGATACCCAAGAGGACAACCTTTTCCTCCCCTGGTCCTTCCTGTGGGGGTTCCTAACGTTTGTCCTGCTCTACTTTTTTTGTCAGGAAGAAATAACCACTTTCACTCTAAAGAGCTCCAAGTCCTCCTTATCTCTGAACGTCAAGACAAAGCCCCACTCCTGAAGGATGTTTACCGGAGCCCTTGGGCCATTGTCCATTCTCAGTACTCTGAGCTCTAAGACACTAGCCAGTGTTCTATTAGGCCTTAGTCTCTTGCCTGGCCTTGGTCTTTGCTGTATCACGTTCTCGAGCCTTTCCTTGGGCTATCTAATTGATAAGTGTGATGCAGCAAAGACTCATCCATCTAAGTGAGAATATCTTGTCCTCTGAGCCAGGAAGAGGCACAAACCTGGATACATAGTAGGTACTCTATAATCTCCTCATCTAGGGGATGTTATGTTTTTTAAATGATCTTCAAGATACTGATGACAAATGGTAGAAATTCAGATATAATCTAGGGAAACTATATGGATAGGGAAGCCTGCCTTGCATTACCTGAAACCTCAGGATATGAGTAATGTCACCCAGGCAAAACTGCCTGGCAGACAGAACAGACCTGGCAAGAATAAGAGGATACTGGGGATGGCAGAAGGAGGAATCACTCTGGAAGCTCAGAGTACTCACCCTGAGGGCAGGAGAGCTTTCTCTAATGATTGGAGATGCCAGCTTCTTACCAGGGGGGTGCTTGCTCCATTGGACAGAATGATGTGGAGGGAGGCCAAGGTCTTGAGTCTTGGTTGAGAAGTTTGGCTTTGCATAAGTAGACAGGTCAGAGACTTCCATGTGTTCACCAAATCCCTTTTCTGTTCTCCTTGGGCATACAGCTAGACCATATTTCCTAGTCTCCTTTGCATATAAATGGGACCATATGACTACTTTATGGCAAATACAATGTGGATACAAATAATGAACTTCACTTATAGGACTGGCCCTTAAAAACTTTCTGTATGAGCCTCCATGCTGCCTTTCTTCTCCCGTCTGCTGGCTGGATGCAGAAGAGGCCCTGGGAGATGGTGGAGCTATAGATGGAAGGAGCCAAGGTCCTTGAATCATGGCATGGGTGGCTGTTCACCAACCTACCCTCAGTGAAATGTATTGTGAATAAGGATAAACTCGTACTGTGCTAACCCCATGAGATTTTTATAAATCTCTGTATTTTTGCTACAGCCATGAGCCTACCTGACTAATACACAGGTCTAATTGGGAAGGGATCATGTGCCCATGAGGGGATGGGGACAACTGTGAGGACTGTGGGAATTATAATGAGAGAAACGGAGTCTCAGAGATGGAGTACAAAAAATTGCAAGGCCCTCAGGTTGGTGTTTGAGTTTATTTGGCAAAGAATTGAGCCCTCTTAGGATAGAGAGGTCAAGGAGAGAACAGAGAGGTCCTCAGCTGGAGCAAGTGGGTATCCCCACAGGGAGCCAGGCATTGCTCTTCTCAGACCACAGAGTCATCCTCCAGCCCACACTAGTGGGGGGCCAGTTGGTTTACCATGGATTTAAAGGGTTCCCTGGAAGAGAAAAGTTAAGTGGTTAAAAGTCGGGGAACCCTGATGGACATCCATTCCCAAACTTAATAGCACCATTGGGCCCATTTCCAGTTAGTGGGAATAGGAATTCTTTCTGTAAGATCAAGAGTTACTCATTTTTAAGCAATTTCTCCCAAGAGGTTTGCCAACTGAGCAGACAAGTGAAGACTGGGTCACTTTGGGCCTGGCTGAGACAAGGGACCAATCAAGAGGCCAGACTAATGAGGGAATAATTGGGGGCTTGGACAAAAGATGGATGGACAAACTGATGGGTGATATTTTGGGGGAACTGAATGACAGTGAAAAAAAAGTACAGGCCCCCATGTTGGTATCTTGGTTTATTTTGCAGTGAGTGGCAGCCTAGGTGTGGAGATAGGATGGCATTGCCTTATGCTGCCTGTTTCTTTGACCAGGATTTGGGTGACTGCAATCTTCTGTTCTAAGTCACAGCTTATGAATGAGGATGAGAAGCAGTGAGGAAGCATGCCCAGGCCCAGCCTTCCCACCACAACCACTCACTCATTGTCCAAGCAGATGTTTCCACAGAAGGTCCAGCAACAGGTATGATTTGGATATAAACATCCCTGTACTTTAGTGCACCTTTTCCTGCAATACTCTAATGGAGGCTGTACCCAGCACTGCCCAATTTCTCTTCTTTCAGCTGGAATTGAGATGGTAGAAGTTGATGGGGGCCATCCACCCACAACTTGGAGAAGAAACCCTTCTCAAGCTTAACAATCCCTGAGCTCTGGAACCTGATCTCCAAGCCACAAAGAATTTCTCTGCCTTTCAAGAAAATCTCTTCCTTGAATTCTAGTCCATGTCTTCTCACAGGACACCATCCTTGCATGACATGCCTGGCCTCTTTTTACATGTCCCCACAGCATTGCAGGCCTGTGAGCCCTCTCCAAGCTCCCTAAAGATAGGACCTAGGACACCCTCACCACGTATGACACCACCTCACCAAATCTATTCTCATATAACTTTGGATTTTAGGGTCTGCATATCTTCCAGCTCCAATTTCCATATCCAATTTGCAGAATAGAAAACTGAGCCCAGAGAGAATAGGAACCTACTTTTATCCCTTTCTGTTCACTCCCCTGCTAATCCCACCTAAGCACTCAGTCTCTCTCCAGAGTCCATATCTTTCACTGGCCCACAATCCTTTGTTATCCACACTTTCCTATCATATGACCCCAAATTTTCATTCATAAGGACCCCTTTTTTGTGTTGTCCATTTTTTCATGTTCTAAAAGACTCTTCCCTTCAAACTAAATGAATGTGTTAAAATATTACTCTTTTGGTATTCATCAAAGGCTCACTCAGATCAGGCACAGAGATTCTGAAAAGATGGGCTCAGAGGGAAGCTCTGTGTTGGTGTTTCCTCTATCCAAGGTGGTCAGACGTTGGAAAATATTATTTCCTGCCAGCTTATGGAATGTGGACAAAAGCTACAATCCCTTTCCATATACCCATTATTGCTTTCAGAGCTGGGAGAAGGAGCCTGAAGGGACGCCAGATTGGAAACATACAGCCTAATCTTCCTTGGATGTCTCTGCTTTAAGGAGGGTTCTGATCCTTTAAAGGGTGATCCTGAAAATGTGGGCCCTGAATCAGTTATGCCAGACATCCCAGGTCTGGGCAGAGCACCCTCCTCCCTTGCCACACCACCTACAGGAAGGTTTGTTCCTGAGGCTTCCCAGCACAGACAGGAGCATCAGAACCTCACAGTTGAGCATGACGAGTAGGCGAACCCAGGGCTTCATGGTAGTTTCTATGTGTGTTTGAGTTAAGTTCTGGTAGAAGGCAGGTCTTCTCCCAATACTGCTAGAGGAAGAAAAGGAATTAAGGATAAGAGGGTGGGAAAGAGAGAAAAAGTGCTAGTGAATACTGTGTTATTCTTTCTCCCACTTTTCTTTTTCACCTTCTGGCACCTAACAACACATCAAGCTAACCACTGGCTTCCCCAGGCTTCTTCCCCATCTCACATTACAGACCCCTTCCTTTGCAAAACTGTTCCCTTTAAAAATGCATTGCTTTCTTTCTGATTAAAAAGCATTAAATCTTCAGATTGTATAATTTGTAAAACAACAACAAAAAAATACAAAGCGGAAATGGGTAAGCATTAATAATTCCACCACCCAGAGATAATCAATATATGTGTATCCTATTATGTCGTAGTCATTACTTTTATGAAATTGGAATAATAGAACACAGTAAGTGTCCTGAATTTTCATTTAAGAGTATATGTGACAGGGTGATACAATAGACGTTTTAGTCAAGACCCTCAGACAAAGGGCATCAGAGTGATTCCAGAGTGAGTTATGAGATAGATTACTCAGCAGGACTTGAGAAAAGATGATGGCCAAGAAATGGTCAGGGGACTCTTAAAACTTTCATCTACACAGATGGTCCAAAGTTGAAGGAGTTGTAGAGAGGATTTTTATTGGTGAAAAGCTTTCTTCAGGGAAGCAAAGATGCTGCTTTCTAATTCCAAGTTGAGAGAAATTCTAATTCCAAGTTAAGAAAGCTCTGGGATACTACCCGGAGCCTACTGTGTGTCCCCAGAACACACACTCTGTGGGGACACCGTAGACTTGAGTCATGACTGAAGACTCTAGAGGGTAGGGAAGGGGCCAGCCCTGTGGCATAGTGGTTAAGTTTGCATGCTCCACTTCGGCAACCCAGGATTCACAGGTTCAGATCCCAGGTGCAGACCTACACACCGCTCATCAAGCCATGCTGTGGTGGCATCCCACGTACAAAATAGAGGAAGACGGGCACAAATGTTAGCTCAGGGCCAATCTTCTTTACCAAAATAATAAATAAATAATAAAAAAATAAAGGTTAGGGAATCTGGCTAAAGTGACTTGTAGTAGCAGACGAGTGGGCTGCAGTTTGGGAAGTATCTGAATCGTAAATGGCCAGATGCCATTTTGTGTCTCCAATGAACCCTGGAAATCTCCCATGAAAGAGGACCAGAAGCACAGCGACAGCTTATGATAGTATCTATTGTGTAAGAACTTTCCTACTCCCTCTTTTTGGTCCTTCCTCCCTCTACTACCTAGGAACCAGAAACTATTTTTTAGCCGGATGGAGGTGGGGGAACAGACTCACAAAGAGCCCAAGAGAGAGGTGTTGACCACATCCTCTTCCATAACTGGAGCTTCTGAGGGCGGGGAGAGTCCACAGTTCTAAACAGTTTATGGAGTTGTGGCTAATTACATGGGCCTACACAGTTTAATTATTAAGTTGAGAAGATGTTTTGTGACTGAAGGGTCACACAAAATTTGTGAGGACCTACCTAAGTTTTCCTGAAGAACCAAGGAAATAACTGAGTGAAGTATTCAGAATGAGGGAGGCAAAAAAATACAATCACACCATTCAAGTTAGACCAACAATCCAATTATAAATATGACATTGTTCCCAACATCGTGGAGACTTGAGAATTTCCAATTTTTTCTTGTGATAAAATATCCTGATGAACCTCCTTATAGCCAAAGCTTTGGCACATATATTATGATTTTTGTATTATGAGTTAATAGAGAAAGATTGCAAAAGGTGTTGTCTGTTTCAGGCTTTGGAGAATTTCTGCCACATTTTTCTCTCTGAGGGTTGGGTTATACTTCCACCAACAGACATCAGAGTTATGTTTCCCCACCTCCTGTCCTGTTCTAGGCAATACAAAGGTAATTTCTGTCACCACACTGTTTGCTATTCAGCATTTTAGAGAGGAAACAACGTATACACCAGAGTCAAATAGGCTTGAACTAGAATCCTAACCCCAACAACTTTTAGCTGTGGAAACTAGGCTGATCACATAATTCCCAGAGCCTCAGTTTCTTCATCTGTATCATAGAAATAATATCAATATTCATCTCATTGGGTTACTGGGAGGGTTAAATAATCTGATGTGTATGAAAACTAAGCATAGGACCTAAAATATAATATATACTCATAAATGTTAGCTATCAGTATTAAGCTCAGAATTTCCTTCCTCCTCTAGATGTTTGAAAACTACTTTTATTTTAATTCTTTTTTTTTTTTACACTTGACATTTTAATCTGTCTAGAATGTATGTCTGTATGAGTGGAGGGGGAGTTCATTCATGTAATAAATACTGATTAAGTGCCTAACTACATTCCAAGCTCTAGGCACTTGAATATAGCGGTGAACAAAACAGAGCAAACTCCTTTCACTCATAGAGCTGACATTCTAGTTAAACAAGACAATACGGAAATACATAGATGGTCATAAGTGTTAAGGAGAAAACAACGAAGCAGAAGAAGATGAAATAGCCTGCTGATAATTGGCAGCTGAGGGGTACAGGGAGTTGGGGCATGGGGGGAGGAGCCCTAATTACCATTCAAAATTCCTGGCCCTCTCCCATCTGTCCCCTTCATCCTTTATCTGCTGCTTTACTCTCCTGAAACTGAATAAGAAGGAAAATTTAAAAAGTCCAAGAAAAGGATAAAATTCTGATATTATGAGTTACATAGTAACAAGGCAGTGATTGTCCCTCTCCCTGAAAATATATTTGTTCAGAAGTTTTCAACAAGCAGAAGAGACTCCTCTGCACTGTCCAATATGGTAACCACTAGCCACATGCGACTATTTAAATTAATTGAATTAAAAATTCAGTCTCCAGTCATTTCAAGCATTCAATAGCCACATGGAGCTAGGGGCCATTCTATCAGACAGCTCAGACGTAGAACATTTCCACCATCCCAGAAAGTTCTACTGAACAAGGCTGCTCTAGATGAATCCGCGGAAATTCCTCTGTTCAAAAGCAGGTGTAGTACTAGAGGTAATTTAAAAGGTGAAGAATTTTTCAAACGGCACTCCTCAAACTCATTCTCCTCTCAAAATACGTGAAATTTAGAAGTTGGAAAAATGCAAGTGTTAGGCACATGAATCATTGATGCATTGACTTTGAGGCAAATTGGATTTAAATGACTTGGGGAAAGACAAGGGCAAGAGAAGTTTATGGGGAGAAAGAACAGGAGGAGAGAAACCCCTAAAATGGAAAAGGTCAGATGTTTGGGGAGCCTCTATTCTTAGATGCTTATATCTGCTCTCCAATCTTCTCCATTCAGAACCCAGGTCCCTGCCAGCTTGCCTCAGCATGGCTTGATGAAGGAAAATTGCCAAGTTAAGGTGTTGAGACTTCATTTACCATTGGGCAATATTTATATCAAGGGCTACAACTTCACTGGTGAAGCTTCAGGCCAAACGAGAATTCTCTTTGAGTGTAGTACTCTTCCAGAAATCCTGTGACTCACTCACATGTTTTGCACAGGAAAGCCAGCTCCCAGTGGCAGCACACCAAATCCTTGAGCCTGGCTCAGAGTGTTCTGATCCTCTGAAGGCACCAGCACATAGCAAGACAGATGTGCAACGCAGATGCTCTGTTAGCCACTTACAGATGGGGATATGAGGTATGAGGCAACTGGGTGAAGGTGGACAAGGATTGGGATGGCCTCTGGATTCCTGGCACCTGCCTTTTACACAAAGAAGGAGGAAGACTGGCACACAGTGACAGAAACACAGTAAATCCAAAGCAATGGGTTCTATGAAGCTGTTTATTTGTATTCAAAAATATCATTCTAGACCCAAGTTTTCCAGAGCTTTGAGATCTGTTAATTTAAAAGGCTTCACTCTTAGTCAAATTTTCTGAGTTCCTTACTTGCCTTAAACGGTGTTCAAGATCCTGTGGGTGCCCAGCGCCCTTCTTTGCACACCTCAGGTGTACTAACTGATCCTAGAGAAGAGAAACATCATCATGCCCAGGCTGGATCCTATCCACATATAGAGTTCTGGGTGAATTCTTTGGCCATCCTGAGATTGAGTGTAGGACAATGAAAATGTCCCTAGGCATCAAAAGACACAGAACTACTGCTCCCCTCGCCCCCACCAAATCCAGGATCCTGGGCTTTCTAGATAATGTTAAAGAAGAGAGAGGCCTGGATTTAGAGTCAGGAATGCTGGTATGTTGTTTCATCTCTGCCTCTTTTACCTATGGGACCTCAGACAGGTCATGTCATATCTCTCAATTTTCTTATTTGAAGAACAGAGACAATAATCCCCACCTCACAAGAATAGTGTTGACATCACCTGGGCAGGGAACTCATCCAAGCAAGCCACAAATAGAAGCTCATGCCTCAAGACCCTTTTGCCCACCTACCTCTGAAGGTGTCTGAGTTGAGTGTCTGCAGTAACTGGCTGACAGCTCTTTTATCTGGCTTCTTCTTACTTGGGGAGGTGGAGGGGAGATTGTGGCCTGGAATAGGGAGCAGAAGAGCAGAAAAACAAAGTCCAGAGGCCCAGAACTTAATGGTGATTTTGGTTGTGCCAGATCTTTAAGTTCTGCCCAGGAGCTACATGTTGGCCACATCACAGACTCTTTCGTTTGATACTCACCCATCCAGAAGTACTGGATTTTCTTTGACGTGAGCAGTATCTCCTGATAAGCTAGGAGGAACATTGTGTACCTGGGTTGCAGTTCTGACCACCCCCAACAGACCCAAATCTAGAGTCTTTATTTGATGCATCTGAGTCCATCCACAGGGAGGGAATGGAGTACAGTCTGATATCTATTTTCCTGTGACTTGTCAGTGTGCTACTTAAGGTCCCACCCTTCTCTGAATTGATTCTCCTTTGCTAATTAAAGCATAACATCATCTCCCTCCAAAGGCCCTGTGACTTTTATGTGGATAAAAAGGGACTGAATAGGAAGGAGTTTGTTTATTTATTTATTTGTTTATTG